AGTAGAAACAGTGGCTGACTTTATTTTTCTGGGCTCCGAAATCACTGCAGATGGTGATTGCAGCCATGAAATTAAAAGACGCTTACTCCTTGGAAGGAAAGTTATGACCAACCTAGACAGCATATTAAAAAGCAGAGACATTACTTTGTCAACAAAGGTCTGTCTAGTCAAGGCTATGGTTTTCCAGTGGTCATGTATGTATGGATGTGAGAGTTGTACCATAAAGAAAGCTGAGTGCCGAAGAACTGATGCTTTTGAACTGTGGTGTTGGAGAAGACTCTTGAGAGTCCCTTGGACTGCAAGGAGATCCAACCAGTCCATCCTAAAGGAGATCAGTCCTGGGTATTCATTGGAAGGACTGATGTTGAAGCTGAAACTCCAAAGCTTTGGCCACCTGATGCGAAGAGCTGACCCATTTGAAAATACCCTGATGCTGGGAAAGACTGAGGGCAGGAGGAGAAGGGGACGACAGAGAATGAGATGGTTGGAGGGCATCACTGACTCAATGGACATGGGTTTGGATGGACTCTGGGAGTTGGTGATGGACAGGGAGGCCTGGCGTGCTGCGGTTCATGGGGTCGCAGAGAGTCGGACACGACTGAGTGACTGGACTGAACTGAACTGAGCCCTACGAAGGAGGCCTCTCACAAAAAAATACTGTAGCCACCCTAAACCACCTAGCTGATAAAGGATATAGCTGTCCAAGAAAATGATCAAATATCACAAACTGGGATGAACTACCTAGGCTTCATCCTCACAGGTCAGAGAAGCCCACTGCAGGAAAGGAAAGAAGCCATTAGCAGCCTCACTCCTCCAAAAACTAGAAAACAGCTAAGGGGTTTCCCGAGGATGGCCATGTTTTCCCACAACTGGATCCCTAACTATGGTCTAATAGCTAGTCCTCAATATGGAGAATTGAAAGGAAAGGATGATGATCCTTTTGAATGCGATTCAGAATGCAATTCAGAATGTGAAGGGGCCTCTTAAGAAGTGAAAAAGCAATTACTTTAGGCCACTTCCCTGGCTCTCCTAGATTTAGCTAAACCCTTTACATTTATAAGAGAAGGGGAATTGCCGTTGAGGTATTTCAGCTTATAAACTGGGACATCTTACTAAGGTGGCTGCTTATTGCTCTAAACAATTAGATCAAACCATCAAGGGATGGCCTCCTAGTCTGCTAGCAACTGCAACAACCCTGCTAAAGGAAGCAAAAAGTTAGTTTGGTCAGCCAATCACTATATAGACTCCACACCAGGTTCAGGCTTTTGTAAGCTCTAAGGGAACAGAATGGCTATGTCCCAGAAAGTCTATCCAAGTTCAGGCTCTGCTACTAGACAACCCAGTGGCTAGCATAAAAACCTGTCACATACTACATTCTGCCACCCTGCTACCCACAGAAATGGGGCCCCTGGAGTATGACTATATAGAAATCATAGACATGATCTATTCCAGTCACCCACTCCTAGGAAGTGAGCCTCTCCCAAATGCCAAAGAGGAATGGTTCACAGACAGGAGGAATTTTATGAGAGAGAGGAAAAAGGCTGGTGAGATACGCAGTCACCTCCCAGAACCAAGTCACAGAGGCACAAAACCTACTGCTACAGACTTCTGCCCAAAAAGTGGAGCTGATAGAGAGAGCCTTAGAGCTTGGAACAGGGAAGATCTTAAATGTTAACACAGATTCCCAGTATTTGCATGTTATCCTTCACACACACAGGATTGTTTGGAAGAAAAGAGATGTTTACTGCAGAGAACAGACTGATGAAACACAGCTTAAGCATACTGAAGCTCTTAGAAGCAGTACAGCTTCCCCAAAATATGGCAGTGATTCACTGTAGGGGTCACCAAAAGGGGGTGCAGAGTTAATAAAGAGAAACAACAAGGCCAAGGCAGATGCAGCCGCAAGAAGTATACCCCAGAACTAGTAACTTGGCAATTACCTTCTTATGTAAGAGGCCAGGTCCATTCAGTTACTACCCAGTCTATACAAAGGAAGAATTAGACAAAGCCCCAAAATGGAACTTTATTAGAGATCTAGGAGCCCATGGGTGGCTAGTTAATAAACATGGGCAATAGTTCTTTTTCCAAACTGCATGTGTCATGCCATCAGGGATGCTCATCAAGGAATTCACTATGGGAAGGAAGCCTTATACAATTGATCAGTTGAAGTCATGGTAACTCCTGGCATGAATTAGTATTAATATACTCAGTTGGAGAGATGAGACATGCCTCATCTGCACAATAAACAACTCCAACACCAGACTCCCCAGAAGCTCCCAGATAAGGTCCATGGAAACCAGAGGGACATATCCTGGAGAACACTGGAAGGTTGATTTCACTGTCATGCCAAGAGTCCTGAGCAATTTCAGGTATCTCCTGGTGCTAGTAGACACGTTTTCTGGGTAGACAGAAGCATTCCCTGCTAGAACTGAAATGGCAGCTGAAGTGCTTAAAGTGATAAAGGTTCAGAATTTGTGTCTCAAATGACAAAGGGCCTTGATCATAAAATGGACCTTGCACTCAGCCTCAAGACCCCAATCACTGGGGAAAGCAGAGAGGTCCAATCAGACCTTGAAATAGGTCTTAGCCAAGTCATGTCAGGAAACACAAAAAAATTGGATTAAGTTGCTTTCAATGACCCTGCTCCCAGTGCCATTATTAGTTCAAGGGATAAGCTACAGTTAAGTGTATTTGAACTCGTGTATAGGGGGCTTCCCTTGTGGCTCAGCTGGTAAAGAATTTCCTGCCACATGGGAGACCTGGGTTCGATCCCTGGGTTGGGAAGATCCCCTGGAGAAGGGAAAGGCTACTCACTCCAGTATTCTGGCCTGGAGAATTCCATGGATTGTATAGTCCCTGGGGCTGCAAAGAGTCGGACACAACTGAGCGATTTTCACTAACTCATAGTAGAGCCATTCCCCAAGCCCAAGGGAAGGGATGGACTTGGAATGGAACAACCCAAGTATGCCCTCCAGGTAGGAGAAACCATGAAATCTCTCACTGGAATATAGTAACCAGATGCTGACCGCATCCACCAACCCGGGCCTCCACCCCATCCAGCCAGGAGACTGAGTGAACCTAAACACTGGGAAAACCTGCAGCCACAAACCAACTCACTCTTAAGAAGAACAGACACTACTTGGTGATCCTAACCACCCATTACACCCTGAAGTTGCAGGGCTCACTCTGTGGGGACTTTGCATTTGAGTGAAGAGGCCCCCCAGCCCCAACTTGAGGCAATGACACCCCCCCGACTACTCATGTGACCCTCTCTCTGACCTGAAGCTTCTCTGCAGAAAACCCACAAAAGCATGAGCAGGGAGATTCAGGCCACAGTGGTGAGCCTCGACACCAAGGCACAGTTTTGCCTTTGGGCAAAAGAACTAGAGACCTTCATTTTTATTTTTTTTTTAATTTTTTTTTCAGATCTTCATTTTTAGGAAAACTTGGCCCTGTGCCCATTGTTCTCTTGCTGAAATTTGGGCCATGTATCTTAAATTGGGCGTCGCTCAGAGCTACAAAAACAACTGAGGCCGAGCTGACAGAACTGAAGCGGCGGGAGAAGTTCTGTTCCTCCACCCGCAGTCAAGAAGGATGACCACACACAGCAGGGAGCAGTTTCACAAGAGGGATTTGACTGGCACCCCTCAGCGCCCTTCGAGCACCAGGAGCAGGATGAAAGGTGGTTTCATCTGCACAGCCCATTAACAAAGCCCAGGAAATAAAAATAAAATCTGAATAACAAAGTCTAACCTTCTTTTCCTTTGCTTTTGTGCTTAGTCTAGTTCCGCTTGCTCATAGGGGACCATGTGCAGAGCTCTTCCACCTGGCTCCTCAGACCTGGGTGGTCAGTGAGAAAGGGCTGCTCCGACACCTCAGCTCTGCAGGTCTCATGCAGGCCTGACACTCTCATTCAAGATGGCCACGGCCGTCGTGGAGAGATGATGCATCCAGCACTGAGATCTGAAGGGTACCTGTGGCTGTTCCCGCCTCGGGAGAACTCTTCTCTCCGCCCCACTCAACCGAGGAGATCCCTATGAGGCAGTCCCGCCCCATCTCAGGTGGCCTTAGCCTGCAGCAGCTTGAAGCTGGGCATCAGTTCCAGATCAGAAATTGAGGCAGAATCTCGGTGGTGAGGGCACCGAATCCTAGCCGCTAGACCAGCGGTCAGGGACAAGGCTTTGGCCCTTTGCTTTTTCGGAAAAGAATTCCCACAAAGACGGAAACTGTAGGGTAAGGGAGTTAGTTAGAGAAGGCGAGGTTGGGAAAAAGAATGAGACCAGCACTTTACAGAAACAGATCACCTTTAATGAGGTGAGAAGGGGCATCAGTCAGATTAGTGAGCTGCTGCACTAACCCAAGAAAAGAGTAAGTATATATAGGCACATATGTGGAAATCTACTGTCTTAAGGGGGCCTGTTCTTCTCCAAGGTTGTTCAGAGCAGTTATCTCTTAAACAGCTGGGGCAAGGAATTCTGGAGATTGGCCAGAGGCTGTGACCAGCTGGGAGCTGGGCGTTATTCAAACTTAATGTCCATTTTTTCCTTCTGGTGAGAGAGTTCTTTGTTTTGCATAGAATGGTGGGGAGGGCCTGGAGGGGAGTTTTAATTCTAGGCTCTTTTGAGCCCTGTAACTTTCCTTCAGGAAGTATTGAGACATGTGTTTATTAGGAAAAAAAGAGTGCAGTACTGTGTGGATAGACACACAGGGGGACCCAGAGAGAGTCTCACCTCCATGGTAGTTTGAATCAGCTTTATGGGGCATTTCTTCTGGGCTTCCTTTGGCCAAACATTTTTATTTGTCTGGTTCTGAGTCCATATTTGGTATATCTCAGGATCCTCCCAGGTGTACGTGCACATTGCTCAGCCAAGATGATCTTTAAGACAAAGGTGACAAAGGTGCTGGAAATTCTGGCCAAGATCCAGGATATGGTCCCAAATTCCGTCCCAGACTTCTATCCGGAGATCTGAGAGATCTGAGAGATCAGTTGGAGAGAGCAGGGCTGAGAGGTGCAGCCAGGGCTCCAACCATGGCTGAGGCCAGTGCCCCTTCCAGGATCAAGTCCTGCAGCTCCTCCCACATCTAGGGATGCTAGATGCTTAAAAACCATAGCTTTGACTAGATAGACTTTGTTGGCAAAGTAATGTCTCTGCTTTTTAATATGCTCTCTAGGTTGATCATAGCTTTTCTTCCAAGGAGCAACCGTCTTTTAATTTCATGGCTGCAGTCACTATCTGCAGTGATTTTGGAGCCCAAGAAAATAAAGTCTCTCACTGTTTCCATTGTTTCCCCATCTATTTGTCATGAAATGATGGGACCGGATACCATGAACTTAGTTTTCTGAATGTTGAGTTTTAAGCCAACTTTTTCAGTCTCCTCTTTCACTTTCATCAAGAGGCTCTTTAGAGACATGTGTACCCCAATGTTCATCGCAGCACTGTTTATAATAGCCAGGACATGGAAGCAACCTAGATGCCCATCAGCAGACGAATCGATAAGAAAGCTATGGTACATATACACGATGGAATATTACTCAGACATTAAAAAGAATACATTTGAATCAGTTCTAATGAGATGGATAAAACTGGAGCCCATTATACAGAGTGAAGTAAGCCAGAAAGATAAACACCAATACATTATACTAGCGCATATATATGGAATTTAGAAAGATGGTAACAATAATCCTATATGTAAGACAAAAAAAGAGACACAGATGTATAGAACAGACTTTTGGACTCTATGGGAGAAGGTGAGGTTCGGATGATCTGAGAGAATAGCATCGAAACATGTATATTATCAAGTGTGAAACAGATCGCCAGTCCAGGTTGGATGCATGAGACAAGTGCTCAGGGCTGGTGCATTGGGATGACCCAGAGGGATGGGAAAGGGAGGGAGGTGGGAGGGGGGGTCCAGGATGGGGAACACATGTAAATTCATGGCTGATACATGTCAATGTATGGCAAAACCCACTACAATATTGTAAAGTAATTAGCCTCCAACTAATAAAAATAAATGAAAAAAAAAAAAGAGGCTCTTTAGTTCTTCTTCACTTTCTGCCATAAGGGTGGTGTCATCTGCATATCTGAGGTTATTGATATTTCTCCTGGCAATCTTGATTCAGGCTTGTGCTTCATCCAGCCCAGCATTTCTCCTGATGTATTCTGCATATAAGTTAAATCAGCAGGGCAACAATATACAGCCTTGACATACCCCTTTCCCGACTTGGAACCAGTCTCTTGTTCCATGTCCAGTTCTAACAGTTGCTTCTTGACCTGCATACAGATTTCTCAGGAGGCATCTGCAGTGATTTTGTAACCTAAGAAAATGAAGTCTCTCACTGTTTCTGTTGTTGCTCCATGCGTTTGCCATGAAGTGATGGGACAGGATGACATGATCTTAGTTTCTTGAATGTTGAGTGTTTAGACAGGTTTTCACTCTCTTCTTTCACTTTCATCAAGAGGCTTTTTAGTTTCTTTTTGATTTCTGGCATAAGAGTAGTGCCATCTACATATCTGAGGTTATTGATATTTCTCCTAGCAATCTTGATTCCAGCTTGTGCTTCATTCAGCCTGGCATTTCACATAATGTACTCTGCATACAAGTTAAATAAGCAGGATGACAACATACAGCCTGATGTACTCCTTTCCCAATTTATCATCAGTCCATTGTTCCATGTCCAGTTCTAACTGTTGCTTCCTGACCTGTATACAGATTTCTCAGGAGGCAGACTAGGTGGCCTGGTATTCCCATCTCTTAAGAATTTTCCACATTCTGTTGTGATCCACACAGTCAAAGGCCTTAGGGTAGTCAATAAAGCAGAAGTAGATGCTTTTCTGGAATTCTCTTGCTTTTTCTATGATCCAACAGATGTCGGCAATTTGATCTCTGTTTCCTCTGCCTTTTCTAAAACCAGCTTGGACATCTGGAAGTTCTTGATTCATGTACTATTGAAGCCTAGCATGGAGAATTTTGAGCAGTACTTTGCTAGCATGTGAGATGAGTGCAATTGTGCGGTAGTTTGAACATTCTTTGGTATTGCCTTTCTTTGGGATTGGAATGACAGCTGACCTTTTCCAAGTCCTGTGGCCACTGCTGAGTTTTCCAAATTTACTGGCGTATTGAGTGTAGCACTTTAAAGTATTATCTTTCAAGATTTGCAAAATCTCACCTGGAATTCCATTACCTCCACTAGCTTTGTTTGTAGTGATACTTTCTAAGGCCCCCTTGACTTCACATTCCAGGATGTCTGTCTCTAGGTGAATGATCACTCCATCGTGGTTACTGGATCATTATGATCTTTTTTGTATAGTTCTTCTGTGTATTCATGCCACCTCTTCTAAATAGCTTCTGCTTCTGTTATATCCACACTGTTTCTGTCCTTTTTGTGCCCATTGTTGCATGAAATGTTCCCTTGGTATCTCTAATTTTCTTGAAGCAATCTCTAGTCTTTCTCCTTCTATTGTCTTCCTCTATTTCTTTGCACTCATCACTTAGGAAGGCTTTCTTATCTATTCTTGCTATTCTTTGGAACTCTGCATTCAGATGGATATATCTTTCCTTTTCTCCTTTGCCTTTGCTTCTCTCCTTTTCTCAGCTATTTGTAAGGACTCCTCAGACAACCATTTTGCCTTTCTGAATTTCTTTTTCTTGGGGATGCTTTTGATCACCACCTCCTGTACAATGCTACAAACCTCCATCCATAGTTCTTCAGTCATTCTGTCTACCAGATCTAATCCCTTGAATCTATTTGTCACCTCCACTGTATAATCATACGGGATTTCATTTAGGTCATACCTGAATGGCCTACAGCTTTTCCCTACTTTCTTCAATTTGAGCCTGAATTTTACAATAAGGAGTTCATCATCTGAGCCACAGTCAACTCCCAGTCTTGTTTTTGCTAATGATATAGGTATTTTTCACCTTTGGCTGCAAAGAATATAATCAATCTGATTTTGTTATTGACCATCTGGTGATGTCCATGTGTGGAGTCTTGTGTTGTTGGAAGAGGGTGTTTGCTATGACCAGTGCGTTCTTTTGGCCAAACTGTTAGCCTTTGCCCTGCTTCAATTTGGAGTTCAAGGCCAAACTTGCTCTTACTCCAGGTATCACTTGACTTCCTACTTTTGCATTCCAACCCCCTATAATGAAAAGGACATATCTTCTTGGTTTTAGTTCTAGATGGTCTTGTAGTCATCACAGAACTGTTCAACTTCAGTTTCTTCAGCATTAGTGGTTGGGGCATAGACTTGGATTACTGTTGTATTGAATGGTTTGCCTTGGAAATAAACAGAGATCATTCTGTCCTTTTTGAGACTGCACCCAAGTACTGCATTTCAGACTGTTTTGTTGACTATGAGGGCTATTCCATTTCTTCTTTAAGATTCTTGCCCACAGTAGGAAATATAATGGTCATTTGAATTAAATTTGCTCATTCCCATCCATTTTAGTTCACTGATTCCAAAAATGTTCATGTTCACTCTTGCCATCTCCTGTTCAACCACTTCCAATTTACTTTGATTCATGGATCTAACATTCCAGGTTCCTATGCAATATTGTTCTTTACAGCATCAGAGTTTACTTTCATCACCAGTCACATCCACCACTGGGTGTTGCTTTCGCTTTGGCTCCGTCTCTTCATTCTTTCTGGAATTATTTCTCCACTGATCTCCAGGACCATATTGGGCACCTACCGACTTGGGGTGTTCCTCTTTCAGTGTCATATCTTTTTGTCTTTTCATACTTTTCATGGGGTTCTCAAGGCAAGAATACTGAAGTGGCTGGCTTTTCCCTTCTCCAGTGGACCATGTTTTGTCAGAACTCTCCACCATGACCTGTCTGTCTTGGGTGTCCCTGCACAGCTTCATTGAGTTAGACAAGGCTGTGATCCATGTGATCAGCTTGGTTAGTTTTCTGTGACTGTGGTTTTCATTCAGTCTGCCCTTTGATGGACAAGGTTAAGAGGCTTGTGGAAGCTTCCTGATGGAAGGGACTGGCTGTGGCAATACTAAGTGACTCATACTAAGTAGCAAATATTTGTGACTCATACTAAGTGGCAAATAAATGAAATTTTGTTGCAGGTGCTCAAAGTGTCCACCGAAAGGAGGTCTGAGGCCTCTCAGGGCAAAAATCTGTTTTCCTTTCCTTCCCAGAATTATGGACCTGGCAGGATAGACATTGCTGGTAAACTGTTTGCACAATTTTATAAAAATCTTCCTACCAGTGTCTATAATTTGAGTCATCTGAAATGATGGTCAGGGAAAGAGTTGCTAGAAGGCTGGGAGGAACCAAGGGGTCATCTTGAATTTCTCATAGCCTCAACTATTTATTTAATTTAAAGCTATTGTTTACCCATTTACTTTCTCCAATTTGGGAGCTGACTGGCACCATATTAAATAGACATCAGGATGGCAAAAGTCTGGCAATGAAGGGTCAATTTTTTTGGCAGAAGCAAAATGGACTTTATCTAAATGTGCCACAATGTTCACAGATTCTTTTGTTGTTGCTGCCTGTACATAAAAGTCAGCTTCAGTGTTTCTCTGATACTTGGGTTTAGTCCTTTTAGTGTGAGCTTCAATTTTGATGACAGACAACATTCTACTACAGGACATAAAAGACTTCCAAAAGTTTCTAATAATTCCTGAAACGCTTATAATACACACCTATACAAGTCTGAAAGTGTGAGTTGCTCGGTTGTGTCCGACTCTTTGCAACCCCTTGCACTGTAGCCCACCAGGCTTCTCTGTCCATGGAATCCTCCAGGTAAGAATACTGGAGTAGGTAGCCATTCCCTTCTCCAGGGGATATTCCTGACCCAGAGATCGAAGTCAGATCTCCTGCACTGCAGGCAGATACTTTACTGTCTGAGCCACCTGGTAAGCCAGACACAACGTAGAAAAAGCTTAACATTACTTATTATTTGGCAATGCTTCCCATGTAATTTAACAAAACCAATATGCTTAGTTAGTTTAATATCTCTCTTTTTATAAGGAGAGAGAACAAATCTTTGCGATATTTCAGGGGCCCTCTGAAATAACGTATACCTCAAAGTTAGTTTTAAGTCAAAAAGACATCATATAGAATTTGACC